TTATTCTCTACCATGACGAGGGTGGCCTGCTGGGCTCTATTGGCTACATTCTCCTTGAGTCGGACGTAAACTTGCACCTTGGCATTAAGAGTCTGCATGTCCGGAAGGGAGTATTTGACTATGGAGGTATGGAATTTAGTCCCCTAGATCATGGTGATATTGAACGCTTTCACAGCTGTTTCAGGGTGGAAATCTGCTATCTTCAAAGCTTCCATGTTATATCTGGATAGGAAATCTTATAACGATTCTCCTTGCCTTTGCCTTATAGTGAAGAAACTAGCGATAGTCTTTTTCTGTTTCTTATTACCACAATATTGCGCCAAGAACATAACGCACAAAGTTTCGTAGTTCAGGATTGATTTATGGGGCCTATTCTTGAACCACTCTAGTGCGGCTCCTGTCAGACTAGTTGGGAAAACTTTACACTTGAATGCATCATTGTGGTTATCCAGAGCCATCTTCTGGGAGTAGTGATCGAGGTGACAGGAAGGATCTACCATGCCATTGAACTGTGTGAAGGCCGGCATGGTGAATTTCTTAGGTTTTTCGACATAGTATATCTCATCGGTGACTGGGGTCTTCACCAGAGAGGGCTTATGCTCCTTGGCCATCTCAGCTGGTGTCTGAATCCTTAAAAGTTTCTTTTCATCGAAGGTCTCTTAAGTGCCATTGTAATGACCCGAACCCATGGGTCCGAATCGTTAATCGGGTCCTTACCCAAACCAGAGGACACACTAGGGGTAAAATGGTCATTTTACAATATGAGAGGGTAATCTGCCTTCAAAATAGTTAAATGAAGTTAGGTGATCAAAGCTGATAAACTAGTTTTTTTTTTTTTTTTTTTTCAGAACTGGGGAACTTGAACCTGATCCCAACATTTGGAACAGGTTCCAAATGGGCAGAATGCCTAAACCTGAGCCAAAATACCCTCTGAACCTGTTCCCTGAAAACTGAACAGGTTCCAAATGTCCAGAACCTAAAAAAATGCCCTGAAAGCCTAAGATTAAGCATTTATGCACTTAGGCACTTCTTTGGTCCTTTAGTGACCTTACTTAAAGCTCAAACCTGTCCCAATTCTTCCATTTGATGATACAACTAACACAACTAAGTAGTACTAAAATCAAATAAGGTCATACATGAGTCCGACACATCATCAAAATTATGCAAATCCGTCATACATAAAAAATATGGCCTTAAGGCCTTACATGGGTATTGAAATCATAATGAAACCACAAAATACAAATAAATGGTCTTAAGACCATTTCCAACCATGTAGGTGATACAAAATGTCCCTCAATATTATATACAACAAAATGGAGTAAAAAACACATCGAGTACAAAAAAGTCCAAGTCTATCAACCCGACTAAACTGGTGGTGGATTGTTGTCCGCCACTTCTTTACCGTGCCCTGAAAAATATTAATTATAAAGGGATGAGCAAAATTGCTCCGTATGTGGTGCCTAAGACACACCTCTTGGGACCCCATGAATCCAAACAACGAATAGAAATTGGGAGAGCGGGATCATGCTATGTCGGGAAGATACTGTACAATTTTCAAGGCAAAAAATAATACAATATGATGCTATGAAATACAATGCCGTGCTATGTTGCTCCCCATCTCAAAATCACTTCCATTCATCACTTTTCAAACCATTAACATAACCCGTCCCTCGGTACCCCCTCGGCGACACGAGAGAATGATTGGCTACTGTCCCTGATCCTTGGTACCCCTACGACGTCATTTGGGGCCAGTTAGCTCAACCACGCTAGGGTAATTTCCCTAATTCCCTCTAGGCTACATTAATGCCACAGACCCTCGGTACCTCCTTGGAGTCCGGGTTTTCATAAAACCCTTTTTATCAAAACTTTTTTTTCCAAAAACCTCTTTCTTTCCATTTCAAAACAATTTTTTCATTTTCCTTACCCAATGTTATGCATGAATGCATCATGCTATTCCATGTCATGCCATTATCCATTATGATACACCAAATTTAAGCTCAAATCACATAGCATAATTTGACAAGAAATCCCAAGAGAACATCATGCTTTCACAATATAAAATTTGGCAAATATTAAATACAATAGACAAGTAATATTACCAACTAAGCATGTTAATTTACACAATATTAACTACACACAAAATCATATACTTCAAATACACAATCAAATCACTTTAAAGTGCAACCAACACAATTTAGCATGTTAGGACACAAATCAAGTAAAATTAACTCACAAAGGTGCATATTGAATGGATTAGAGACCCCTACCTCCAAAATGAGAAAATCCCCAATTATGAACCCTAAATTTTGAAAAGCAAGGGTTGGCCAAAGGTGTGATTTGCTCCTATCAATGAGTAGATCTCAACGAGGTCTTCGTTTTGCCGCAAACGGCACCCAAAAACTCCAAATGGCTGAGAAGTGATCTAAGATTGAAATTTTAAAGCAAAAAGAAAAGAAAAAAGGAAAAGGAAGAGTGAGAGGAGGAGAGTGCCGGGGAGAGAGAAACAATGAGGCCACAATGGTGGCCTCTAGGCCGCTAAACCCAAAAATTGGTGGGTCCCACTTAAAAAAAATCTCTTTTCAATTTCTAATTTACCACTACAAAAATATGTATATATATATATATATATGCACTAATACATACCATAGCCACCAATTTACATTTAAACAATTAACTTTTGTACAAAATAATTATGTATGGTATGAAATGGACCCATGATATAATTCCCATATACAAAAATTCCGATAGCGGGTCCCACACAGGATTTTCCGGTCCGAAAAACTGAGAAATGCCGAAATGGTAACCCTTGCATTTCAAAGAGTCCTGAACTCAATGAAATGCCCCAACCAACTCTTGAATACACCAGGCACAACTCACAGTATCTGGCACGCAAAATGAGAAAAGACAAAAATGCCCTTGAAAAACATAAAATCCCAAAAATGGAAAATGACGAAATTCAGAAACACTACAGCCATTTGGCCATACTGTGAGTTTGTGGTTGGACTCAGCCTGCTCGTCCTGTATGCACTGAGGGTGGTTCTCCGAAGCTCTTGCCTCGGTTCTCGTCCTCTGCTCCTGTTGACTCCCATTGACTTGAGCCTCGTCCGCAGGAGGTATAACGTGGTCGAAGGGGACTCCAATGGCATTCTTTGGTGGTGGTTGTGCCACTATCTGCTCCATAGCTGTTTGGAGAGCGTTATTCCTTTGTTGGAGCAATGCAATCTGAGCCATGCTGACCTCGTTTGCTTGACAAAGCGTCTTGAACTGCTGCAAGAACTTTTCTCGCATTTTCTGCATTAGTTCTATCTGTTGATTAGCTGCGGATGCAGATCCTCCAATTGACATCCTGGATCGTAGTCGCATAAAATATCTCTTATCATTCGTGGGGGTATATTTCTATACGATTCCCACAGACAGCGCCAAAGTGTATGTGCAAAATTTCGTTAACTTAATTCAAAGAATAAAAGCAACTCACTCAAATAAAAGATCAATTTACTCAATAAAGATAATTCAGAGAAAAGTCTGTAATACTCGATGATCTTTATTAGAGGTCTATGCCTCTATTTATATACAAATTGAGGTAGAGTTATGGTAGGATTCGCCATGCTTGTCCTTCACGTTTCTCCTATACAGAGTTTCTTATATACAAAGTTCTTTCCTTGTGTAATTCCTTCCATGTAGAATTCTTCATCTGCAGAGTTTCTTTCTATATAAGATCTTTTGCTATGCTGCGATTGATTGATCCGGACTATATTTGGACCATAATGCGTATTGGGTGGAAAGGGGATTGGATTGGTTTTATGGCGGGCCGAGAAGTTGACATTAATACTTTTGGGCTAGTGATGACTTTATTGGGCTTTATCAAAATTGGGCTTTGGAGAGCTAGTGGATCGGAATACAAGGATGGTAACTCATTTAAAGATGTGGCTAATTTTTATTGGGTTGGGGGGGGGGGGGGGGGATTTTCCGGCTTTTGCTCTGATTCACGCTTCTTTTCTGTGTGAAACTTTTGAGATCTACTATTGATTGCAAACTTAAACCCATTTGTCACAATTCATCAACCCAAAATCCTGAACCTTGGTCATTCAAACAAACCCTATTCACCGTCAATGACAAACGAACCCACAAGCCTTAACCCCATCGCTGCCTCCCCCTCACCAAAAACCAATATCAGCAACCAAACACACCATCAAGCCCTAGCTGCCATTGCCAACATCTTCAACAAACCTCAATCCAACCAAATTTTAAACATACCCCACCATTAGCCTCTTATCTGGGACCCTAGTTGAAAACCACTGTCAAACACAAGCCCTTAAGCTCAATCGTAACCCAAACAACATTTTAAACCCCATTGTTACATAACTGAACCTTAGCTACAAGACCCGATCATAACCGGAAGCCCTAACTCATCTCATCGTAGCTTTCCAACCTCAAACAACACCCTTCATTGTGAACATACAATGAAAAAGTAAGAAAGAGGGGGTGAGGCGGCACTGGAGGTGGCGACAATGGTGGGGATAGACAGAAGAAGGGTAGAGAGATGAAAGGAGGGGTGCCACAATATAAGGTTGGTATTAGTTAAAGGGTGAAATGGTCTTTCTAGATTTTTGATATAATACAATTAAAAGTAATACGTCGTACAATATTGAAGGGCAATTTAGACTTTCACACCTTTTTTTGGGCCTGTATGGATCTTATTTCTGACTTGGTGGGTCATTGTTCAAAAAATACGTCGTAATAAATCTAAATCTTAGGAGCGTTAGTCTAAATTACCCTTAAAAATAATACTCCATAATTCAAAATAAAAATAATTAAACTATGCCGATTGGATCACTAATCTGTATTTTGGGTAATTCACTCAAAATTTAAATTTTCATTTTTAAATGAAGCAAAGATGGTTTGAGTAATTTTAAATCGCGATCAATCAAGTAGGCATATTTGAATAGTTCACAAGAGTTTTTTGTTATGGCAATGAATTATTTGTGTTTACATTTTGGCAGGTGTGATACCGCAAGAGATTGGAGAGCTTAGCAATTTGATGAGTATAGTATTAGATACAAATAGCTTAACAGGCCACATCCCTGCAACCATCTTCAACATTTCAGCACTACTAGTGATCTCACTTGTGGATAATCATCTTTCAGGCAATCTTCCATCAAGTATAGGCAGTGCACTGCCCAACCTCGAAGAATTTTTACTTGGAGGAAATGATCTGAGTGGATTTGTCCCCGACTCTATTTCAAATGCTTCAAAACTCAGACTTTTGGACCTTTCCTCTAACAACTTCACTGGTTCAATGCCAAACTCAATTGGTTACTTACAACTCCTCGAAGATCTAGTCCTGGCTGACAACAATTTTGTCAATGAATTTTCTACTCCAGAACTGAGCTTCATCACTTCATTGACTAATTGCAGACATCTTAGACGACTTTGGATAGCTGAGAATCCTTTAATCCACAGTACTCTTCCGGTTTCCATTGGGAATCTCTCTGCTTCTCTTGAAAGTGTGGAGGCTAGTGCTTGTGGACTTGAGGGAAGTATTCCTAATGAAATTGGTAACTTGAGCAGTTTGGCATTCTTATATCTACAACGCAATGGCTTAACTGGGGTTATTCCGACAACGTTCAGAGCGTTGAGTAAGCTCCAAAGGTTGGGTCTTGGGAACAACAGAATAAAAGGATCTATCCCAGAGTATATGTGCCAATTATTGAACCTGGGTGAGCTACGTTTGAGCCGAAATAGACTTTTTGGTCCCTTACCAGAATGCTTAGGAAATACAACTTCCCCAAGATATCTATTTCTAGATTCCAACAGATTTGGCCCCAGCATACCAACAAGCTTGTGGAACCTCAAAGATCTTTTGCTGCTCAACTTATCCTCAAATTCATTAAGTGGTCATATATCCCCAGAAATTGGGAACTTAAAGGTTGCAATACTAATAGATCTATCAATGAATCGATTCTCGGGGGATATTCCAAGCACAGTCGGAGGTCTGCAAAGCATAACTAATCTTTCTTTGGCATATAATAGTTTTCAGGGACCTATTGTAGAGTCATTTGGAAACTTGGTGAGCTTGGAATTTTTGGATCTATCTCATAACAGCCTCTCAGGTGTGATTCCTACGTCCTTACAGAAACTGTCGTATCTTAGATATTTCAATGCATCCTTCAACAGACTAAAAGGTGAAATTCCCGCTGGAGGACCTTTTGAAAACTTCACAAGTCAATCTTTTATGTCAAACAAAGCATTATGCGGTGTTTCTCGTTTCCAAGTTCCACCATGCGATAGTTCACTTGGCAAATCAAGAAAGAAAAGAGTGCTTCTAGTCATATATATCGTGTTTCCCATCGCATCAGTACTGGCTGTCATGATCTTCGCATTTGTTTTCATAAGATGTCGAAAGAGAAGAAATAGAATGCCAATTCAAACAGATGTGTTATCTGCAATTACACTCAAAAGAATTACATACCACGAACTTCTACGAGCAACCAATCGGTTTGGAGAAAGCAACTTGCTTGGCATGGGAAGTTTTGGTTCAGTTTACAAAGGTACATTAGTGGATGGGACTGTCTTGGCAATAAAAGTCTTCAATTTGCAGGTTGAAGGTGCTTTCAAGAGTTTCGATGTTGAATGTGAAATATTGCGTAACATTCGCCATAGAAATCTCACCAAAGTTATCAGCAGTTGCTCTAACTTTGATTTCAAAGCCTTGATACTTGAGTACATGCCTAATGGAAGCCTTGAAAAGTGGTTGTATTCTCACAACTATTTCTTGGATATTTTACAGAGATTGGACATAATGATAGACGTGGCATGTGCACTGCACTATCTCCACCATGATTATTCAATGCCTGTTGTTCATTGTGATTTAAAACCGAGTAATGTCCTTTTAGATGAAGATATGATTGCACATGTGAGCGACTTTGGCATAGCGAAGTTCTTAGGAGAGGGGGAGAGTACTGCATTAACAAAAACTCTAGCAACATTCGGTTATATTGCACCAGGTAAAGCATTTAGTTTTTTTTTTTTTTTTTTTTTCCTTCTTACAAAATTTTAAGTTCCAAGTTTCTATTGGTCATTACTTTCCTCACAAACACATTAATTCTTCTGATATATTTTAATGTTGGATGTAGAGTATGGAATGGAAGGATTAGTATCCACAAAGTGCGATATTTATAGTTATGGTATTATGTTGATGGAAACATTTACAAGAAGGAAACCCACCGATGAAATATTTGCTGGAGATATGAGCCTCAAGAATTGGGTTAACCGGTCATTGCCTAATGCAATAATTCAGGTTATAGATTCGAACTTGTTAAGGCCAGACGAAGCAGACTTCATTGCAAAGTTGCAATGTGTATCATCCCTCATGGAATTGGCTCAGAATTGCTCTGCAGAATCACCACAGGAGAGAATCACCATGAAAGATGCTCTAATTGCACTCAAGAAGATCAAGCTTCAATTCCTCACAAATCGCAAAGGGACTTGAAGTATGAAAGTAGTTTCTTCTTACATTAAATTTTTGTTTGTGGTGCTTAAACTTTTTAACTTTCAGAAGGCATCCAAATCCAAATAAATGTGAGTAACAAATGTCTAGTCCTTGTTTACTTTTATGGGCTAATGAAGTGATTTATTGCAATTGCTTGTAGGACTCCGACAGGATCGAACCCTTGTAGCTCCTCGTATTCATTATAATAGAATCCTGCTGCAAAGACATTTGCTTTCAAGACAGGCAATCAAGGTAGAGAGATGTGTCTATATCCACTTATATAGATCAAAGGAGTCTGCACAAATAAATAAATAAATAAATAATTCATGAGGAAGCACATATAAACCTAACTTATTATTATTATTATTGTTATTATTATTATTATTATTATTTTCATTGAACAACCGTTTAAATATGGTTTCTTGTTTGGAATACTTTTAATATTTGTATGTAATGTTCATAATATATGTGGCATGTTTGGCTGCTGCATTAATAAAATTATAATGTTTGTATGTAATGTTCATCCAAACATTAATTGAAGGAACAATTAACTAATTTCACAATGAACATAATAAACTAATTTCATCCATCATATTCTCATTAGAACACAAATAATTCATTGCATAGAAAAATAATAATAAAAAAATAGAAGTGTAATAATTAAGATTCAAAAATTTTGCCCAAAAACTAGAATAAGAAAAAATTGAAAAATATAGAATCCAAACATTATAAAACTGAAGTAATAAAATTAAATAAGGAAAGAAAAAAAAAATGTTAAAGCACATACATCAATACATCATACATAAGAAATTTGAAAAAGATATAACAAAAATAAAAGGAGAAGAAGGGAGAAAAAAAAAAAAAAAATGAGAGAACTTTGAAAGAGAAAAAAAATAAGATTTGCTTGAGGAAGAGGAATATATATAATTTTGAAGGAAGTTAAAGGAAATAGAAGAAGAAGAGTAAAAGAGAAAAATAAAAAATAAAAAATAAAAAAAATAGACAGATTTTTTCTAAAAAAATAAATTTCAGAAGGGGCATTTATTAATATTTTACAAATATACAGGCAAAAATAAAAAAAATATTTAGTGTGTGGGGCCCAGCTGAATATTGTTCATGATCGTAAGCTGTTTTTATGGGATAATCCTCGGTTTTCTTTATTTTTTATTTTTTATTTTTATTTTTACCATGAAAGGCTTAATCGACACAGTTTGGATGCCAATGTTTTTATGGAATCTCACTTAAGAACATTGGTAAAGAGTTTACCTTTACCTTTTTCAACTTGATTGGTATGTATGGACGCAAATGCTCTTAAGTGAGATTCTCATACGGTTCCTTAAAGTGAGTTTTAAGTCATCTATATTTTGGTCACGTCTTCTTTATTTAATAGACAGTGCTCGTTTGACAATTACATTACTATTTATAAGTAACATTTTGTCATTATTTATAAGTAATATTATAGAAGTTTAAAAAGTAACATCACTATTTGTAAGAGAGTAACATTACCACTTAAAAAGTAAAGGTTATTAACAGCCAAATACCTCATAATTACCATCAAAATTCTCTCACAAAATAGACCATATTCACCCTCAAAAAAAGGTATGCACATAATGCACACTAAGTAATGTCACATATAAACGTTACTCAATTCAACATATCATTTATGTTATTATTTGAAATTAAAGTATTTGAAAAACACTTTAATATGTTAATTTAAAGAATTTAAACCAAAATTAAAGTCACTTGGATTAACTTTAGACAATAACCAAAACACTTGATGTTTCCAAAAATAATGAAAAGAGCCACATCTTTTTTTTTTTTTTTTTTTTTTTTTTTTTTTTTTTTTTTTGTCTTCCAAATATTAAAAAAAACACAAACTTAGGTATAAATTATTTAACATATCTTTGAAAAAAAATTGGCAAAATTTAATATTAAATGCCACATTAACCACCTTCACCATCAAAAAAAGGTATTTACATAGTGTTGAAAAACTAATAGTTACACATAAATCTAACTCAATTAAATATACTATTTATATATTTTTTAAGTTAAATTTTATCATAAAAAAATAAAACATCCAAAAAAATAGTCACATGTTAATTTAAAAAGGATTTTGAAAGGGATTATGAGGTATTTGGCTGTCAACAACCTTTACTTTTTAAGTGGTGATGTTACTCTCTTACAAATAGTGATGTTACTTTTTAGACGCCTATGATGTTGCTTATAAATGGTGGTGAAATGTTACGTATAAATGATGATGTAATTGTCAACCGCGGTCTCAAGAGCTCTTAAATGAAGAAGAACGTGGTCAAATATAGACTACTTAGGAGCTTACTGCAGGGGACCGCATGGGACACCCCCCCCCCCCCCCCCCCCCAGAACCAAAAAAAAAAAAAAAAAACTACATTTCTAGTGTCCTACCTCACCCTATTATAAAAGCAATCTTCAAAATGTTAACATTGATAATAATAATAATAATAATAATAATAATAAAATCACCACATTTTGAAGCTTTAGTTTAATGCAACTAGAAATTTAATAGGTTTGATGATGAGTTGGTATTGTTGGTTCGCCTTGGCACACAGGGTGTGGTGGTTTCAGAACTATTTGTTGAAAAAATGATTATGACAAATTTCAAAAATTATTACATATATGTGTTGAAAAATATATATGCTTCATAGGATATTTAATATATAACTAACTTTATACTAATATGGCATGAGATAATTAATAATATGCTAAAAAATAATTAATTAAATATTTAACTCGATATTTAATTAAACATACAAATTAAAGTAATAAAATAATAATAAATAAATAAAGAACCTGGACCAAGACTAGTGTTGAATAGTATGTCCTTAAGACAATTCACACCCCGCATGGTGCTGACGGACTCTGTAGCGTTTGTTTATCAGAATACAACGGCCTACATCTACTAGTAGTAGCATCAAAAACTCGAGGATACTGCGAACCTTCTCTATGTAATACTCTCTCTGACTGAAAAATGCATCTATACTATATAAATGTTAAATTTGGTGCAATCCGAACAAAATGGTTCGAACTAATCTTAATATGGCTCGATGAAATTGGATTAGGGTCTATGTGGGTCGGACCACTTGACCTATTATTTAAACCCACTTGAGTTAGGTTCAAGTATAGAGAGGGAGAGAGAAGAAAATGAATTAAACGAATTACAAATGGCAGCCTAAGGGGGTATTTATAGAAATAGAAGTGTCTTTTCGGATTGGGTGTGTCTCTTCATCATTGGACACAACCATTTATATGTGTCTTTTTATCACTGGATACAACCATTTATATGTATTTATTTATCATTAGACACAACCATTTATACGTGTCGATTCATCACTGGACACAACCATTTATATGTGTCTCTTCATTACTGGACACACCCACTGCAATAGGTTGTAATGGTTCATATTGAATATGTTATGTCTATTGGTTTTGAGTTGCATTTTTCATCCCACAACCAACCCGTGATCACACCGGCATATTCAGTCAAAGGCATCTGTTGATGACTGATTAAACAATTTTAATTCAAAAATTCTAACAATCCCCCACATAAATAGAAATTGGCAGCTTAAATGCAAAAGATGATCATATAGACACTAGAGAGAGTATAGTCGAAAATCGGGATAGGTAGTTTTTGGTCTTAAACCTTCCCTAGTATATTATTATCGGATTTACTGGATAACCAGTGAACGGGATGTCTTAAACTATTTAGCCATTGATGTAAACAAAATAATAGCAAACACACAGTTCCCTTCCTCACAGAGTTGGTTCTCATTATTGTGTTCATTTTGGCCCTGAACAACTATTGGTATTCAATGAGTGCTCCAGAAAACTTAGCCTTTATAGTTCTCATAGAAGTGGCCCCACTTTACACTCATGTAGGTGACTTCTTATTAAGAGTATCCTACAATACCCCATTTGAATTTTCAAGGTATAATCCACCTACTATAACACCAATATCAATGCAATGTAGAGCTGATATGAAGCTCTAAAGTGAAGACTATTCAAATTAATGTTCACAAGCGAACTTGCTTAATCCCTACATACTGCCCACTCTTGATTAGTCCTACTCCCATTTCGATATAGGAAGTGGCTAAAAAAAAAAAAAAAATTCAATAATATCCAATGATCAAATTTTCACCTTTTTAAAAGGTGTTACACTTAGAGACAATTATGTACATGTATCTACCCGTACTTGCTCGCTAAAACTGACATTTGATGTCTTGATGTAACTTATAACCGTCTGAATGCACTGAAAAATTATGAATTTTTACATCTTAATCACTCTGACCTCCATAACATCATTTGCAGAATCTACTAATCTTTCTCTAGTACCTTAAGCTCTATCTGAGTAAGGTAACCCCTACTCCAGGGTCAGCTCCGATATTCTAAGTTGACCTCCTTAATTACTTTGGTAATAACAAGTGTTATTATACATGTTATAGATTCAACTAATAACTCAACAACTAACTGAAAGATTAAATACTATATTGGTTGTTGAGAGCATCCATTTCCACATTTGCTTCCACCAGACGGAACTTGATGCAAAGTGTGAGTTACCACTTTGATCCATCTAAGCCGTCTCGTGATCAGTTCTATTCGTATGTACTGATGTCTTGAACTAAGGTAGACATTAAACTATCTGCAAATGTTTCTTAAAATAACATTCCTTGCTAAATAAGGTGATACCACTGCTACAAGCTCCAAAATTTTCTAGTATACTCATTAAGTTGTTGTATCACAAGCTTACTGTAAAATGGACCACGGTATGCCATATATCTTTACTATCTCTGCAATGTAAAGATTTGTTAACTTTACTGATGTCATACCAGTCTAAATAGACAAGAATTAAGTTAATTAAATTTATCAATCAACCAATATCCCAAACAGAATCATGACCTTTGTGTGAAGTCAGCAATCCCTTAACAAAATCCGTGGAAAATGCTCTCTTATTTCCACGTTGGTATAGGAAATGGCTGCAAAGGATCTGGTGATCTCTGATGATCAATCTTAACTATCTAATAAATATTAGACTTGGAGATAAAAATTAAATATGTCCCTCCTTATGCCTGTCCACCAAACTTCTACTTCATATCGTGATGCATCGTATTACCACCTAGATAAATAGAGAATTGAGAGTTGTGAATCTCAGTCCTTGCATCGTCCCTCCAATTTGTCTGTAGAAAGTACCATTAGTCTGGTACCACCAGCCTTCGTCTACACACATTGTTTAAATTGGAGCATCTTCAAAACCTAACTCTACAACTGAATCCATGCACCACTGATCTATGATAAACTTACCGATAATGAAAGTCAAGCGGTAAATCAATTCATCAAAAGTCAACTAACTACAACTTTCTCATACACACCATGCACCTCTTCTTGTTATATAGGTGATCGGTCTCACCATCTTGTCTTTCACACACCTTGTTTCTTTAACGCAAGTAAGTGTTAATCAAACTTCTTATCTAACTTCAAAAGAATATGGAACCTTTCCATCCATCAAACAAGTTATCATTTTCCTAGCAACAGCTAATTGTTGCAACTTGTGACCTTAAAAAAAATTTCTATATTATTTATGCAAGTGAAGAGACTTAGTTTCCTCCACTATGTTGAACACTGACAACTCCTCCTAATGACATACCCTCGTGAATAAATTCTTGATTAAGAATAGACTGATGAAGATTTATTCAATCTACTGTCCTCACTTGGCGTCATTCTAATAGGTAACTAAACCAGTACGAAATCTTCCTTTTAACTTGGTGACAACTTCTGGAATTTCCAAAAAAGATGTTTTGCAAATCCGACACCTCTGGTAAACCATCTTAGCGTTACAATGGTCTTTATTTACCATAACCTCACGAATACGGAAATATTAATAACCCCTATTATCATGGCATTGTAATAAGATACGTATCCAGACCTAGCGTAAAAATATATCAAACTAATCGAACTAGATTATTTGACTCGTAATGATGGTTTAACTATCCCATCCTGGATAACACACCATACTGATACATGTCCAGGTCCAATAAATTGACTAGAATTATATATA